GCGTGCAAGTGGGCTGTTATGGCATACGGGGATGGGGGCAGCTCGCGCTCAACTTCATCAACGTGGCGAGCCTTGTACGTTAGAGGCACAGTGGAGGAGGCGTTAAGAAGACTGAGAAACTGAATGATTTCAATGTGTCTTTGTTTTTGATTTTTATCCTTTGATCCTGTGTAAATAATTTTTGTAAAAGACTGAAAGAAATAATAATACTGTGAAATAAAGTGTCATTCTGGTTTGTCTGTCTCTTTGCCTGTCTGTCCTTTCATTTTTTTTTTCTTTGCTCATCTTATTTCTTCTTCTACTTCACATGCTCATGCTCTTAGTCAATAGTTCACTGACAACATATATATATATATATAGGGTCACCAGCCCGTACGTACGGATGTCTCTGGGCAGACCTCCGTACGTACGAACGTTCGGGGTCCCGTACGGGGTCTGAACCCGGCGACGTTCGGCCCTCGCCAAAAATCATTTCGGGGCCTAAAAATAATTATTTTTTTCTGAATTTGTTTTTGTGAGTTCTCTATGACGTCAAGTACATGCCTGTACATTTTCAAGTCATTTGGCCAAGCCAAAAAAGAATTAAAAATCGCCAAAGATGGCGGTGTCAAAATGTGCTTGCCCACGTATTGTTTCATTTTTTACCTTTTGTTTTCACTTTAGTTCGGGATCTAAACAATTTTATTATTTTTTTAAACTTTTTTAGTGGGTTTTGTATTATGTGAAGTCCAAATCTGTAAATTTTCAGGGCATTTATCTCTGCCAAAAAAAAATGAAAAATCGCCAAAGATGGCGGTGTCGAAAACATGCTCGCGCACTCACTAAATTTAATTCTCTTTTTATTTTTATTAATTTTTATTTATTTTTATTATTAGTATTTGTTTTCCATATTTTATTTTTATTTTAAATTTGGTAACGAATTCGGATGTAATGCTCAGGAAAATCTTGTTTAATGTTTTTTTCTCCATAACATATCTTTTTTTCAGATTTTTTTAATGACTATTATTATTATTATTATTATTATTATTATTTTTTAGGTCCGCGTTCGGCCCGAACGGCCGAAAGCATCCCCAAGGGGTCCCATACGTTCGGGCGTTCGGCCCGTCCCGAACGCCGGTTACCCTGTATATATAAATAGGGCGTCGGTTTGTATTGAGATAGAGAGAGAGAAAAAGAAGAATAGCAGCACAGTTGTCGATCTATAAAAAAAAATACAAAAATCAATCAATGAATCGGATGACAATTGCCCGTCACTCAAGACCTCATCTCCCCGTGCAAATACGGCCTACCCACCAATGGTGGATCGAGAATGCACCTCCAAAACGGGATTGGATCTAAGCGGTCTGCGTACACGTCAGCAATGGTGGAGACATAAAGAAGCACGATCTCCCCGAGCACATCAACGGGATGGCCGCCCCACTGATTGGGGATCATATCGCCAACCTTCGTCACGTAGATCAACACATGGCCGAGATCATTCCCAAAGAACCCCAAGCCGACGTCCATCTTCATAGCAGGTGCCCTCTCTCTCCCTCTCTCTCTCTCTCTGGCTAGAGTCCTCTCCCTCTCCCTTCCGACGAATGGAGCCGGCCGATTTGCCGGTCGGTACGTGCCAAAGTGCACAGCGGAACACACCCAACTTCAGAAAACGACAACAAAACGCAGCAGACAAACAACGTATTCCCACAGTACTCTATCTTCCGCAGGAACTGCGATTACAACCGATGCGGACCCCGTCTTGCACGTGGCAAGATCACCACGTGGCAAGATCGCCACCTCGGCCTCCCGCTTCCGCTTCTCGCCACTTTCGCTTCTCCCCGCTTCTCCCCGGTTGTCGTCGCTTCTCCCTGCTTCTCCCCGCTTCCGCTTCGGTCTCCGCTGCTCTCCGCTTCGCGCTCCACGTCTCGCCGCTTCCGATTCCGCTCTCCGCTTCCGCTCTCCACTTCGGCCTGTGGCAAGTTCGCCACCTCCCCCTCCCACATGGCAAGATCGCCACGTGGCAAGTTCGCCACCTCCCCCTCCCACGTGGCAAGTTCGTCACCGCACCCCGCACTTCCGCCATCCCCCGCACCTCCGCCCATCTTCGCACCTCCGCCTTCCCCGCTTTCAATCAATATATCAATCAATCAATCAATCAATCAATCAATCAATTTCGATTGATTGATTGATTGATTGATTGATTAATTGAAAAAAATAAAAAATTATTAAAAGAAAAAAAAAAAGGACGAGGGCCCCCCACCTCCGGCGCTCACCCCTCCCCCTGCGTACGCTCCGCTGACCTTTGCCCACCTCCACGGCTCCACCCACTTCCGCTCGACTCACATCTGCGACTCCACCCATCTCTGCGGCTCTGCCCACCTCCGCAGCTCCACCGACCTACGCTCGACTCAACTTCGCGGCTCCGCCCACATCCACGGTTCCTTCCACCTCCACGGCTCCACCCACCTGCGCGGCTCCACGCATGTCCGCCATCCCCCGCACCTCGGCGCACCTTCGCATGTCTACCTTCCCCGCTTTCAGTCAATCGATCAATCAATCAATCAATCAATCAGTCAATCAATCAATCGATCAATCAATCGAAATTAATCAATTTGGATTGATTGATCGATTGATTGATTGATTGATTGATTGATTGATTGATTGAAATTAAAAAAAAAACTTATAAAAAAACCAACCAATCAACCAACCAATCAATCAACCAATCAAGCACTAGATCGGTTAATTGGTTTATTGATTGATTGATTGATTGATTGATTGATTGATTGACTTATTGATTGAGTAAATGATTGGCACGTAGCAAGGTCCC